GAAGACCTACAACGAAGTCCATAGTGACATGCTCCTACTTCCACTCAGCAATAGGCAAGGGTTGCAACAAACCCGCTGGCCTCTGATGCTCGGCCTTCACTTCCTGACAAGTAACGGACTTCGATACGAAAACCGCCACATCTCTCTTCATACCCCGCCACCAAAACTAGCGACCCAAATCACGATACATCTTAGTGCCTCCAAGATGCACCGCAAGGTGTGAATGGTGAAATTCTCGGAGTACTTCCTCTCAGCAAGACTCCGGTACAAACAAACAGTCTCGGTATCTCACACTCAGGTCGGGATACACCGTCAAACCTTTCTCAACCTTCCCACTGGAGATCTTCTCTCGGAGGGATTCTACCTCAAGGTCACCTCTCTGTGCCTCTAACACTCGAGTCACGAGTGTAGGCTGTGCAACAACAGAAAACAAGGCCGCACTCTCAACGGATTCGCCCAGAAGCAACTCAAACTCGCCAAGTGCACCCAACATCTCCCATTCCTGGATGGCCACACAAGCTATATCACTAATGGATTTCCTACTAAGGGCATCGGCCACAACATTGGCCTTTCTCGGGTGATAGTGCAACTCAAAGTCATAGTCCTCAATGAACTCCATCCACCTTCTCTGCTTCAAATTCAAGTCTCTCTGTGTAAACAGATACTTCAAACTTTTATGGTCCGAGAACACTTCGAACCTATCACCATAAAGGTAGTGCCTCCAAATCTTCAAGGCAAAGATTGCTGCTAACTCTAGGTCATGCATAGGGTAATTCTTCTCGTGTATTTTCAACTGACGTCAGCCATAAGCTACCACTTTCCCCTCTTGCATCAACACACAACCCAAACCCTCTCGTGAGGCGTCGCAATAAACCGCATAACCCAACTCTCTCTCCGGAATAATCAACACTGGAGCGGTGGTCAATCTAACCTTCAACTCTTTGAACGAGTTTTCACAAGTCTCACTCCACACAAACTTGACCCCTTTCCGCGTCAATCTAGTCAACGGCGAAGCTAGCCTGGAGAAATCTTTCACAAACCGGCGGTAATACCCAGCTAATCCCAGAAAACTACGGATCTCAAAAACACTCTTAGGCTGTGCCCAATCTTGCTCTGCCTCAACCTTGGATGTATCAACTGACACCCCTTCCTCGGATACCACATGGCCTAGGAATTTGACCTCTCCTAGCCAGAACTCACACTTCCCAAACTTGGCATACAGCCTGTGGGCTCTAAGCAACTCAAGCACCACTCTCAAGTGTTCCTCGTGCTCCTCCTCTGAAGGTGAATAGATAAGAATGTCGTCCACGAGTACGACCACAAAGCGATCTAGGAATTTCCGGAAGATCCGGTTCATCAAGTCCATAAAGACTACCGGTGCATTGGTAAGCCCAAATGGCATCACCAGAAACTCATAATGGCCATACCGCGTATGGAATGCCATCTTAGGAATATCCTCCTCCCTGACCCTCAACTGGTGGTAACCCGATCTCAAGTCTATCTTAGAGAAACAACGGGAACCCTTCAACTGGTCAAACAAATCATCTATACGGGGCATATGGTACTTATTCTTAACCGTAGCCCGATGCAACTTCCGGTAATCGATACACAATCTCAAGGCACCATCTTTCTTCTTAGCAAAGAGGGCCGGTGCTCCCCACGGTGAAACACTAGGGCGAATGAAGCCCTTATCTAACAATTCCTAGAGCTAAACCTTCAACTCACTCAACTCGGCTGGGGCAAAATGGTAAGGTGCCATAGAAATCGGCGCCGTGCCGAGCACTAAATCAATAGAGAACTCTATCTCTCGGTGAGGTGGCAAACTAACAAGATCCTCGGGAAAGACATCCGAATACTCACAAACCACCCTCGGCAAGGTCCATTGTCATTAATCACACTCACCACTCATAAAGCTAGCAAGTAGACCACTAAGCTTATTCCGCCCTCGCGAATCATACCTCGGTGGCAAAACACTACCAACCGATCCCCAAGAATGGAAACACCTCCCCGCTCAAGATACAAATTGTGACGCCTCTGGCGGTAGCAATCCAATAACAGCCCGTATGACGATAGCTCCATAACCCAAAATAACATCAAAACCCTTCATAGACATGACAACAAAAGGAAAAACCTCTATATCACAACCTCTACATCCGTGTTTCAAAATCAATTCACCCCCAACAGGTGATACAACACATATAGGAGATGCTAATAGTGCCAACTCCAACTCTAACACAGATGCGAATGCAGCAGATACAAAAGAATGAGATGCACCCGTATCAATCAACACACTAGCAACAGAGTTGCAAAATAGAAAAGTACCTCTCACAACTGATGGAGCCAATACTAGGTCCTGCGCGGTAACAACATACATGCGCCCTGTAGGTCCCTGATCCACCTGCTCACCTCTAGAAGCAAAAGACTGCTGCACTGACTGGGACGACGAAGCTCCCAGATTGGCCCTCGAGGCCTGCACAGACTGAGCTGGCTGATAACCCTATGTCTACCTAGAACTAGACGCCCCCGAAGTGGCACTCAACTGTAGGCAAAACCTCTTCAGGTGCCCGGGCTGACCACACTGATAGCAAGACAAAGGCTGGCCCCTGCCCTGACTCTGGCCTTGAGGTCTAGTTGAAGAAGAAGCAGCTTGCTGACCCCCTCCCTTCTGCGGGCAAACCGAAGACTTGTGACCCAGCTGGCCACATGTAAAACAAGTCAAGCCTCCCTCATTACCTCTCCCGGAGCCTGCACTCGGCACTGGAAAGGTCGATCTAGCCAAACCACCCTGAGACTGCTGAGGGTTGAAACCCCTCTGTCTCCTGCCATCACCCTGGCCATCTTGGCTCCTCTTGGAACCTCTATGCTTCTCCTCATCCTCCTCCTACATCATAATCTCCATATGAGCTGCAGCATCCACCAAACATCTATACTCTCAAATAAACGACCCTCCAACCCTCAACTTGAGTCCACGCCTCAACTTCCGCTCAAACTCAAAGCAACGGCGTTCCTCGAACGCCACAAGTTCAGGTGCAAACCTGGACAAGCTAGTAAAAGTAGCCTCAAACTCCGCCACTGACAAACCCTGCTATTTAAGCTGGCAAAACTGTTCCCTCAGCTTCTCCCTAGTAGCGGAAGATAAAAACTTCTCCTAGAAGGCATCCACAAAAGCCCCCCATGCACCACCAACACTGCCCTTCTCGTACTTCCACCATTGACCCGCATCTCCCTTCAGTTGGAAGGATGCCAGGGTCACCTTTAAAGCCCCGTCCTCGATGCCAAGCATCTCGAACGTCTTCTCCGTCTGTTCCAACCACTCGTCAGCCTTAAGTGGCTCCTTCGGATCCCCAACAAACTCGTCCGGGTTAGACCGGAAGAATTCCCTCTTCAGAAAAGAAGGCCCTGCCTCAACGACGTATGCCTGATCCTGATTTCCAGCCCTGAGAATACCCAAAGCTCCTGCTATCTCTCGGGCCAAGGCACTCATAGCCTGCTGACCCACTGGCTCGGCCACATTGGCCTGACCAACTCCCTCTTGTTGTGCCGGAATATTATCCGGTAAAGGCATCTCCTGCCTACCCCGCCTGCCACGCCTACCACCTCATCCTCGTCCTGACATCCTAATAAAGGTAACAAAGAACGTTAGCACATTCATAAATGTGTCGAAGCTATAACACTCGCGACCTAATGCATGGATAACTATAATTCATTCCACGTAAGCACACAATCACATATGCACTTACGAATTTATTTTCAGATAATGATAGTCCCGAGGCGTTACTAGAGTTCCGATTAGAAACAACATTGATCAAGTGCTTTTCCAACAAGACTTACAGAAACCCAAGGATCCAATCAATATCCTAGAAACTAAATCCCATACCCAAATAATCACATAAACATGTTATCACATAAGCACATAACATTACATCTAAGTCTCTAACAAGCGAGACAAACCCATTGTGATACTAATCACTTCCCACGTACCCAAAGTATTCGAACCCAGTAAGCTTTGATACCAAGTTGTAATGCCCTCAAAAAATACATAATACCCATCATTCAAACATGCAGTAATATAAGAAAATCAACGCCTTTCCATTCATCAGAGTAGTTCTTACAATAGTATTGCATGTTAACAACAAAAGCAAATGCCCTACGGCTTACAGCTTTCCAAGTCAACAATTGGTTACACAAAAGAAGAGTACTAACTCTATACAAAATAAGCCCTTGGCTAGATATACATGTAATACAAACAAAATAATCAAAAAGAGTCTTCAACTCCCATAACCATCCAAGCTATGTCCTTGGAGGTCACTATAACAAAATACACATTTGGAGACTAAATTTTTAGTCGCCAAATGATTTGCCCGACTAAATATTTTGGTCGCTAGACTAGTCGCAGACAACTTGTCGGGAAAGGTATTGGCGACTAAATTTTTTTTGGTCGCCAAAAGTCTTATAAATGGCGACTAATTTTTTTAGTCGCCTAAAATAAAATTTAGTCACCAAAAATCTTATTTTCTGCTACTAAAACTTTGGTCGCCAAAACTTGAAGTATCTATGGCGACCAAAGTTTTAGTCGCCAAAGGGTTTTTTCCATCTTTTTATTTTTTTCATTTTTTTTTAGCTACTAAATTCTTAGTCGCTTAAAGTCTACTTTTATTTTAGCTACTAAATATTTAGTAGCCAAAAGTTTTTCTCCATTTTATTTTTATTTTTAGCTACCAAATATTTAGTAGCCAAAAGTTTTTTCCCATTTTATAAATGAAATTATCTATATACTGATAAAATTAGCAACCATTCCACAACACACTCACATTTCACTTTCAACCATTAAAAAAAAAAAAAAATCATATTTAACATCAAATTAATATTTCCAAAAAAAATTCTATACAAATCAAGTATAATCCAATCTCAAAAATATAATTCCATACATAACAGAGGTGTAAACAAAATTAATATCTAATTGTTAAAATCTGAAAACATAAGGAAAAACTGGCTCTGAGGAGGTCCCAACATGCATAAATTTGAAGTGTCTTAATACAGTCTCATTAGTATAAATTGTCACAGGATATTCATGAATAGCAGATGCAAATAGTTTACACAAAAATGTCTTAACATGCAGCAATTCAAGTCTATATTTCTCAATTCAATCTCTGCTCAAATTCATATAAGGCTAGACTCGGCTCTCAGCAAGTCAAAATAGAGAACTGAGAGTAAGCATAATTGCTGTCAAAACAATCTGATATCTTTAAAATGACCAGCTTCTTCCACTAATAATTCATTGACGACCATATGAAGACCCATATCCAGGAGGTGGTGATCCAGCATTGTTCTTGAACTGAGTAGGTTGTGGTCTTGGTCTAGCCTACTCTACGAATATAACCCATCCACCCAAAAACTACACAATCAACAAGACAAAAACTCATCATTCTCAATACCCAATAAATTAATCATCAATATCATAACAATAAGTAGCTGAAGGAGCCCCCTGGCATAGAAAATGCATATAGTATTGTGCTAGTGATATGGGAAAACAAGAGTACTTTTGAATGTCATGAATTGTCAAGGCCACTAAATCACACAAAATGAACAATAATCAACATCTAATAAAAGTGTACACGTCTTCCGTGTTCCTGCCACTAGAAGATCACTCATTTCAAGGGTATTATCAAAACACAACATGAACAATGACCACTACCTAGTAAAGGTATATAGTTCTTCCCTTTTGTGTTCTTGCTAAGGCCATCAGAAGGTGTAGTTGACCATTGACATTTGTCTTTTACATAAGAAAAGTTTAACATTCAATATCCATACAAGTAATTCAAACTTTACATAGCACAGCCTAAGGGACATTGTCTTTTACGTAGGAAATTCAAAATCCATACAGATTATTCAAGCTTTAAACAGCACAGCCTAAAAAACAATCAATTCACAAAACTCAACATGCCAGAAGTCATCATAAGAAATAAAAATACTAGAACTCAAATAATTCTACCATATATATATATATTCTAAACCACTTTGAGAAACAGCAGAACTTTGTTAGCACGCTCGCTATCCAACATTTTAACATAAGTAATTTGTGCCATAAGATACTTCGTAATAAATTTTGAGCACTTGATTTTCTTCTTGTGCTTCACTTTCTTATGAGGAATCAAACAGGTAACTACGCAGTCAGAAACATGGGATTCATTTTCATAGTTGAATATGAATTCTTGTTTGAGCACAATGGTGTGTCTCAAGACCCAAAGGTTTCTTCCTAATATTGTTAATGAATTGGAATTTTCAAAAAATAAAAATAAAAAACAGCAGGGAATGGGGGGCATTCTTGTTAAAGGGCAACCCATTTCCTTAACAGTAATCCTGACACATAATTCCAAACCATCATTTTCCATCTACTTTTGTTTGTGCAAGGGTGTTTTTATGTGCATGAAGTATTTGGGCTAAAGTCACCTCACCTTGCCATCCATGCCCTTTATACCTTCTGCAGAGTCTTCTACTGTGGCATATCTTACGAAACCAAATCCAATGTCTTTGAAAGAGTGCTGCAGCAGAAATTGACAGTCTAAAAATAATAATAATTTGAATACAATTTTGAAAAGCACAATATATAATTTGAACACAAAATATTTACTTGTTAGAAACGGAAGGTCGTTTTCCCTAACAAGTGTTTAGATGACAGTGTTATGTCATCAAAAGATTTTTCCAAAACAACTTCACCACCATGACCCCAAATAAACATAATCTCACCCACAGCATCCCATCCATTATTATATATATACTATTGTATAAAGTGAACATGTTAATTTGGTGTATAAGTCTTTTTGAAGCTGTGGCTGTGTAACACTAAAAAACTGAATCTTATCCACAAAACCATGTCTCACCCATAATTCCCAAACAATATCTCGTTAATGTTGCAACATCCTCTAAACTTTCTCAATTATATTTCTTTTTATTTACATGTGTGTATATGCAATGGGTATAAGATAGAACTGCATGTACACCTATGGCTAGAAGTTGTTCATGAGGGGATAGAACTGCACACATAGCATGTACACCTTTTCCAAACATGAACTGCTGTTCTTGTACTTATTCTTCAAAAGAATTTACATAGTTATCTCAAATTTAAACAAAATATTTTCAAGCCAGGTTTAATTTCCAACCAGAAAATTTAATTTTCTGTTAAATTGCTTACCCATGCTGCAATATTTAACAGACCTTGCTCCATTTGGTAATGGTAAAATGGGTGGAAAAATGAAAAGATGACAAGAGGGAGAAAAGGGTATCCCTACTCAAAATTTGACACTGTAAAAAATCATCAAGCGGTGAAAGTATTACACCTTTTATACCATGTGTCAGTTAATCCAATCTTATGTACATGCATGATGAGTAGAACCATTTCAATAAATGTGTCTGTGCATATCTAAGCATCCAATAGACTTCTGAAACTTTGGACACTGACCTCACTTTGATGAGCAATTACAGATTGAATTGGCTTGGTGACTGATGGAGTCCGGAGATCTCATATATGCAGATACTGATCATCCCCAACTGAACCAAGCAAGTATTCATGCCTCAGATGCCATGCTACATCTTCTACAACACCTTCATGAACCTGTTTCAGCAAATATCAAATTTTATAAATCACCAATCAACAATTTTATTTATGTACTATGATTACTATGAGATAACAAAATACAGTCATTGTTTTTCCTAGCTAGCACATCTTATTCAGTGCATGCATCGATTTACTAGATGTTTCAATTCTTGTAGCCTTGAAGGAATGCTGTGTAAACTGTGTCACATGTTTGAGGCAAACTAAACATGATGTAGTAAAGTATATATGAAACGACAATTACTCTCAAACATTAATCTTTTTGTGCAGCAATCTACTACATACTTCTAATAAAAGACTTAATTTCAGAAGGCCCAGAAAAATCAGAGAAACAATTTCAATGAGCACAAGATGAAGGAAAACGAAAGATAGAAAAATCAAGAATGAAAAATGCTATAACAAGAGATTCTTAGCCAATTATCAAACTTGTAATCCCAGAGTTAAACTGGGCTTGATTCAAGCATGGGACCATTCAATCCACGGTCCCATCAACATGATTAATAGCAAGAAACAAGCTTCCCACCTGGGTTTGACAAAATCAATATCAGGATTATGAGCAGCAACTGCAAGTGCAAGGCATCCTCGAAGAAGATTATGTCCACGGTCCCATCAAAACGTTTAGTGTTCATAGTTTCAAGTATGACACATTGTTGTGTATATTAAGTTTAATTGTCAACTTCATCTTAAGAATTTAGACAAGAATTAAATACACTTGAGTTCCACGTCAATTCCATGTGATCCACGTGAGATTCATGAGAGCTTCACATGATCAAAGAAAGTTATTTGATATTGACATGCATTTTTGCATCCAAATCGCTAACAACAATTAACAGTTGGACCTAATTGAAACCAATTAAAAAATATGAAGTTCAATACATTACAATTAAAACTATAAGGACCAAAGTAAAATTCACTCCAAACTATGGGAGCACAAAAACGTAAATATCCAGTTCCCAATGGATGTCCAGATGCACCTGAATTTGGCCACTTTTTTTATGACTGCATTATTAAGAGGGACAAAAACCTGTAAATGGTGTTCGATCCATAATGGGAATATGTGAGTACCATCTATCAAAAATCCTTCATATAAGAAAAAATATATATGACAACAGGTAGGTGTTATTGTTATGCCACCAAATTGTGGCAAAACTGCCTATAATTTTTAGTCCTGTGTTTTCTGCAGATTTTTTTTCTTCCTCTTAAGCAATGGGAAGTTTAGCTGTCCAAGTTGTTTATTGTGATGTACCAATTGAAGTCTTATAATAACTAGGAGCAAATACAATCAAAATCTTACAGTTCAATTATTCAACATATCATTTTATTATTCAACAAGCCCAAGGTAGGTAGGTAACTGCCCCAGTGGCCACTCCCAAATGTAAAAACATATGAACAACTTCGTACAGGGGAAGCTACAATGCATAGAGTTATTGTATCCTAATTAAATACTCCTTTGAGTGTAAGTACATTAAGAACTTGAAAGCTCAACTGGTTTCCATTTTCCAGCATAACAGCCACAAACCATCAACTGTCTATTTCTGACCAAATTAATTTTGTCCAGGATTATCAAAGTAAAAAAGCTCAATAAATAAGGAGGCAATATTGGTTTGACAGCAAGTCAATATTGATCAGCATGACTGATGAGATTCTCAACATAGAAAAAGGAAGCATCCAAAACTCCTGAGTTGTAGATCAATGACAATGATGAAGAAGACAATTCACAAATTCCTTATCAAACTTAAGTATCTTGCATCTATGTAAATCATTGCAGAAATCAGCCTTACTTTGATGACTGTCACATTCTTGGAGAACAAACAAAGCAGTGTAACTAGGAGGTCTATAATAAGTAATACTTTTTTTTCCCCTTTCTTTATTATTCAAATTCATACATCTTTGTGAAGGTAAATACTTACACACAGTTAAGCCCTCAAATTCAAATTCAGAAAACAAAAAGGAGGATGAGATTTCACAATGACTCAAGCTTTTGTTATGCATAAAAAACTCAAAATCATTCAATCATGAGCACGAATAGCTATTAGGATCACAAAAAATCACTACCCCCACCAAATCAAAGCAAGGCCATTTTTTTTATAATAAAAAAACAAATCAAATTGAAACCCATTTGCTTAAATTCAGTAGGATTTGAAATATAAAACTCAAAAAATAATAAAAAAGTCAAAACCCATATGTAGAATACAGAGCAAATTTCAATCCTATCAAGCGAAGAGGACTTCACGGAATTGAGTCCTAAAATTTTCCATTAACTTACCTACTAATAATATTCTTAAATTGTTCAGTACCTTAAATCAATTGCTATCTACCTAATAAAACCCTAGATCCGAGATGGTGAAATGGGGAAATAGAGGAAGAGAGAGAGAGAGAGAGAGAGAGAGAGAGAGAAACCTGAATATGGCTGGGAGGGGGGCCGCGATGTTGAGCGACGGTGGCGAGAGCCGCAATGGTGAGCGGCGGTAGCGAGAGCAGCGATGTCGGTGGTGGAAGTTTGATGGTAACTGTTAGCAGGGATGGTGAGGGTGAATATATTTTTGGTCGTGTGTCTGTGTGTGTGAGAGACAGAACAGAGTCTAAATAGATCGGGCGCCAAAAATAATTTGTTTCCCTCTAAAACAAAAATTTCAACCTTTCGCGACTAAATATATTTTTGGTCGCCAAATAACAATAAAAAAAATTTTTGGCGACCCAACATGCATAAATTTGAAGTGTCTTAATACAGTCTCATTAGTATAAATTGTCACAGGATATTCATGAATAGCAGATGCAAATAGTCTGCACAAAAATGTCTTAACATGCAGCAATTCAAGTCTATATTGTCAATTCAATCTCTGCTCGGATTCATATTAGGCTAGACTCAGCTCTTGGCAAGTCAAAATAGAGAACTGAGAGTAAGCATAATTGCTGTCAAAACAATCTGATATCTTTAAAATGACCAGCTTCTTCCACTAATAATTCATTGACGACCATATGGAGAGCCATATCCAGGAGGTGGTGATCCAGCATTGTTCTTGAACTGAGTAAGTTGTGGTCTTGGTGTAGCCTACTCTGCGAATATAACCCATCCACCCAAAAACTACACAATCAACAAGACAAAAACTCATCATTCTCAATACCCAATAAATTAATCATCAATATCATAACAATAAGTAGCTGAAGGAGCCCCGTGGCATAGAAAATGCATATAGTATTGTGCTGGTGATATGGGAAAAACAAGAGTAATTTTGAATGTCATGAATTGTCAAGGCCACTAAATCACACAAAGTGAACAATAATCAACATCTAATAAAAGTGTACACGTCTTCCGTGTTCCTGCCACTAGAAGATCACTCATTTCAAGGGTATTATCAAAACACAACATGAACAATGACCACTATCTAGTAAAGGTATATAGTTCTTCCCTTTTGTGTTCTTGCTAAGGCCATCAGAAGGTGTAGTTGACCATTGACATTTGTCTTTTACATAAGAAAAGTTTAACATTCAATATCCATACAAGTAATTCAAACTTTACACAGCACAGCCTAAGGTACATTGTCTTTTACATAGGAAATTCAAAATCCATACAGATTATTCAAGCTTTAAACAGCACAGCCTAAAAAACAATCAATTCACAAAACTCAACATGCCAGAAGTCATCATAAGAAATAAAAATACTAGAACTCAAATAATTCTACCATATATATATATATATATATATATTCTCTAAACCACTTTGAGAAACAGTAGAACTTTGTTAGCACGCTCGCTATCCAACATTTTAACATAAGTAATTTGTGCCATAAGATACTTCGTAATAAATTTTGAGCACTTGATTTTCTTCTTGTGCTTCACTTTCTTATGAGGAATCAAACAGGTAACTACACAGTCAGAAACATGGGATTCATTTTCATAGTTGAATATGAATTCTTGTTTGAGCACAATGGTGTGTCTCAAGACCCAAAGGTTTCTTCCTAATATTGTTAATGAATTGGAATTTTCAAAAAATAAAAATAAAAAACAGAAGGGAATGGGGGGCATTCTTGTTAAAGGGCAACCCATTTCCTTAACAGTAATCCTGACACATAATTCCAAACCATCATTTTCCAGCTACTTTTGTCTGTGCAAGGGTGTTTTTATGTGCATGAAGTATTTGCGCTAAAGTCACCTCACCTTGCCATCCATGCCCTTTATACCTTCTGCAGAGTCTTCTACTGTGGCATATCTTACGAAACCAAATCCAATGTCTTTGAAAGAGTGCTGCAGCAGAAATTGACAGTCTAAAAATAATAATAATTTGAATACAATTTTGTAAAGCACAATATATAATTTGAACACAAAATATTTACTTGTTAGAAACGGAAGGTCGTTTTTCCTAACAAGTGTTTAGATGATAGTGTTATGTCATCAAAAGATTTTTCCAACACAACTTCACGACCATGACCCCAAATAAACATAATCTCACCCACAGCATCCCATCCATTATTATATATATACTGTGTCACATGTTTGAGGCAAACTAAACATGATGTAGTAAAGTATATATGAAGCGACAATTACTCTCAAACATTAATCTTTTTGTGCAGCAATCTACTACATACTTCTAATAAAAGACTTGATTTCAGAAGGCCCAGAAAAATCAGAGAAACAATTTCAATGGGCACAAGATGAAGGAAAACGGAAGATAGAAAAATCAAGAATGAAAAATGCTATAACAAGAGATTTTTAGCCAATTATCAAACTTGTAATCCCAGAGTTAAACTGGGCTTGATTCAAGCATGGGACCATTCAATCCACGGTCCCATCAACATGATTAATAGCAAGAAACAAGCTTCCCACCTGGGTTTGACAAAATCAATATCAGGATTATGAGCAGCAACTGCAAGTGCAGGGCATCCTCGAAGAGATTATGTCCACGGTCCCATCAAAACGTTTAGTGTTCATAGTTTCAAGTATGACACATTGTTGTGTATATTAAGTTTAATTGTCAACTTCATCTTAAGAATTTAGACAAGAATTAAATACACTTGAGTTCCATGTCAGTTCCATGTGATCCACGTGAGATTCATGAGAGCTTCACATGATCAAAGAAAGTTATTTGATATTGACATGTATTTTTGCATCCAAATCGCTAACAACAATTAACAGTTGGACCTAATTGAAACCAAATAAAAAATATGAAGTTCAATACATTACAATTAAAACTATAAGGACCAAAGTAAAATTCACTCCAAACTATGGGAGCACAAAAACGTAAATATCCAGTTCCCAATGGATGTCTAGATGCACCTGAATTTGGCCACTTTTTTTATGACTGCATTATTAAGAGGGACAGAAACCTGTAAATGGTGTTCGATCCATAATGGGAATATGTGAGTACCATCTATCAAAAATCCTTCATATAAGAAAAAATATATATGACAACAGGTAGGTGTTATTGTTATGCCACCAAATTGTGGCAAAACTGCCTATAATTTTTAGTCCTGTGTTTTCTGCAGATTTTTTTTCTTCCTCTTAAGCAATGGGAAGTTTAGCTGTCCAAGTTGTTTATTGTGATGTACCAATTGAAGTCTTATAATAACTAGGAGCAAATACAATCAAAATCTTACAGTTCAATTATTCAACATATCATTTTATTATTCAACAAGCCCAAGGTAGGTAGGTAACTGCCCCAGTGGCCACTCCCAAATGTAAAAACATAGGAACAACTTCGTACAGGGGAAGCTACAATGCACAGAGTTATTGTATCCTAATTAAATACTCCTTTGAGTGTAAGTACATTAAGAACTTGAAAGCTCAACTGGTTTCCATTTTCCAGCATAACAGCCACAAACCATCAACTGTCTATTTCTGACCAAATTAATTTTGTCCAGGATTATCAAAGTAAAAAAGCTCAGTAAATAAGGAGGCTATATTGGTTTGACAGCAAGTCAATATTGATCAGCATGACTGATGAGATTCTCAACATAGAAAAAGGAAACATCCAAAACTCCTGAGTTGTAGATCAATGACAATGATGAAGAAGACAATTCACAAATTCCTTATCAAACTTAAGTATCTTGCATCTATGTAAATCATTGCAGAAATCAGCCTTACTTTGATGACTGTCACATTCTTGGAGAACAAACAGAGCAGTGTAACTAGGAGGTCCATAATAAGTAATACTTTTTTTTCCCCTTTCTTTATTATTCAAATTCATACATCTTTGTGAAGGTAAATACTTACACACAGTTAAGCCCTCAAATTCAAATTCAGAAAACAAAAAGGAGGATGAGATTTCACAATGACTCAAGCTTTTGTTATGCATAAAAAACTCAAAATCAGTCAATCATGAGCACGAATAGCTATTAGGATCACAAAAATCACTACCCCCACCAAATCAAAGCAAGACCATTTTTTTTATAATAAAAAAACAAATCAAATTGAAACCCATTTGCTTAGATTGAGTAGGATTTGAAATATAAAACTCAAAAAATAATAAAAAAGTCAAAACCCATATGTAGAATACCGAGCAAATTTCAATCCTATCAAGCGAAAAGGACTTCACGGAATTGAGTCCTAAAATTTTCCATTAACTTACCTGCTAATAATATTCTTAAATTGTTCAGTACTTTAAATCAATTGCTATCTACCTAATAAAACCCTAGATCCGAGATGGTGAAATGGGAAAATAGAGGAAGAGAGAGAGAGAGAGAGAGAGAGAGAAACCTGAATATGGCTGGGAGGGGGGCCGCGATGGTGAGCGACGGTGGCGAGAGCCGCAATGGTGAGCGGCGGTAGCGAGAGCAGCGATGTCGGTGGTGGAAGTTTGATGGTAACTGTTAGCAGGGATGGTGAGGGTGAATATATTTTTGGTCGTGTGTCTGTGTGTGTGAGAGACAGAACAGAGTCTAAATAGATCGGGCGCCAAAAATAATTTGTTTTCCTCTCAAACAAAAATTTCAACCTTTCGCGACTAAATATATTTTTGGTCGTCAAATAACAATAAAATTCATTTTTGGCGACTAAAATTTTGGTCGCCAAAAGTAAAAAAATAATTTTTTAATTTTTAATCGGCGACTAAATGGTTTAGTAGCCAAAAGTCAACATACAACGACTAAGATTCTTTTTTGTCGCTAAAAATAAACTTTTTGGTCGGTAAAAAATTAATTTTTTATTTTTCTTTTGGCAACAAAATGATTTTAGTAGCCAAAACTTAATATACGGCGACTAAAATTTTTTTTAGTCGCCAATTCTAGCATTTTTAGCGACGAAAATTTTTTTTAGTCGCCAAAAACCAATATGCCCCGACTAAAAAAATTTAGTAGCTAAATATTTTACTTTTGGCGACTAAAAAAATTAGTTGGTTGCCAATTTCATAACTTTTGGCGACGAAATTTTTTTTGGTTGCTAATTTTGGTCGCCAAATGCGTATTTTGTTGTAGTGGGTGGCATGCTACCTGTACCTGAAAATAATGTCCCATATAGGGTGAGCCAACGCCCAGTAAAGATATGCTAAACACAATATGAGCAGTAACTAAGACATTAGCAATTGATAAATGCTTAACTCCCATAAATCAATTCATAAAACCATTTCCATTACATGACCACTATGTCTATGTTTCATTTCATTTTCCATTTCTTATCCAATTTCCAAATTCATACCCGTGGCTCAGAACCTGGCCACACACTCTAAACAAAATAATAATTCATATTAAACGTTTCCCATTTCGCAATAGATAAGCATACAAGCTGTATCAACACCTCAACAGATAAGCATATGAGCTATATCAACACTTCCATAGATAAGCAGATGAGTTGTATCACCGGAGTCCATCCCCTATCTTCTCCCAAACATTAACCGGTTTAGAGGTCCATCCCGTATCTCTTCCCACACAACACAATGCATATAAACAATTATCATATACATCATCAAACAATACATAAAAGTTATTGTATTCTTTCAACTATCATATACGATGACACATTCCATTGATTAGTTTTAGTTTGCCTAATCATCATGCATTGTCTACAACAATCACGACTACCCTCCACCGGTAGCCCAAGGCAATTATTTCTAAACAAATAATAAATGCGTTAACAGATAATTTATCCATATTTCCAAAAAAGTGAGCGATTAATAAATCCAACTTCACTAATCCATCTCATAATAAGCCAATTTTATTATATTCAACTCAATTCCATATTTTTTCAACACTTGTCATTAATTACACTAGTGACCCAAAAATACCCAAACTTGGCATTTTCCCCTTGATTCCCAATATTGACTCCAAGAGTCCATATATTACCAACAACATCAATATACTCATTTTGAAACCCAAATACGTATTTATGGTCCAAAATAAACAAAACCGTCTTTTCAAAATTAAACATTTGAAACCCTAGTTTCCAAAACCCAAAACCATCTATACAAAATCTCAATATCTAGGTCAAAACCCATAAAAGTAAGTAGGAATCCCTACCTCAAATTCGGAGCCCAATGGAAGGAGATGAAGATAACCAAAATGCTCCAAACTCCAAGATCCACGGATCAAAACGAAGCCCTCGACGATCAACACAACTTTTACAAAGGCCAAAAGAAAGGGAAGCACTCTAACTAGATCAAACCCTAGAGAGAAGGGAGTTTCTAGAGAGAGAGGCTCTCAAAATCGGTTTTGGGAAAGTAAGAGAGAGAGAGTGAATGTAAAAAGTGATTCAGAAATGCCTAACTGCTTTCTGATACACGACATTCCCGCTCGAGCGTAGAACAGGACGCTCGAGCGTCACGCCCAAAAATCTACACACGCTCGAGCGCAAGAAGGCCCGCTTGAGCGCCAAGACACAAGAATAAAGTACATCTGCTCGAGCGCGAAAACTAGTCCGCTCGAGTGTAGATTTCCCTCTCCCATAACTCACACCAAAAAAGGTACTACCCGCTCGAGCTCAAACAAGCCCGCTCGAGCGCAGGAAATCCGCTCGAGCGTAGAAATCACACCTGTAGAAGTTCTGCAGAGCACCAAGAATACTAGGAGTGTGCAATCTCCGCTCGAGTGCTAGACGACCCGCTCGAGCGGAACGACCAAAAACCTAGCAACAAGATTTTAGACCAAGGCTCAACCCACCAGCTCGAAACATGCCAACACATCCTAAAGCTCAAACAAATGGAATCAAAGGATGACAATAAGATAGATACAACTACCAACTCCACGGAACCAAAGTCTGGAATACAACAGATATCGAAAGGGAAAACCAGGATTGCTATAACCTTCCCCCCTTAAAGAATTTCGTCCCCGAAATTAAAGACAAGTTTTTCAGAAACAAGATTTTCTCAAATCCCAACATTATTACAAATGCAAAATTTAACAACTCGGCCCATTTCCGGTCATTCCATGTCTATTCAAGAGGCAATTTACCACATATCTTAATACGTATTAACAACATGCTTTCCTCGAAATTTATCAATTTCTACATACATGTTTCACAATTCTATATCACTTTCCACATTCATGATATATCTCCATTTCTACAATACATTCAACATATACAATGTTATAACAAACTTCCAATTTAAGGCAAGTTCTACCATACTTCCATAAACCAAAACATTCACAATGTTTTACTACTTAAGACATATATAATGCTCTTAAAGTTCAACAATATTACAAAATTTCCAACGCATGATTACACATCAACAAACAAGTCCAGATATTTCTCGCGGACCTCCAACTCACGTTCCCAAGTGGCTTCCTCCACTCCATGATGTTTCCACAAAACCTTTACCAAGGGAATGGTCTTGCCACGCAGGACTTGATCCCGCCTATCCAAGACCCGAACCGGTCTCTCCTCATACGAGGCATCCTCATCTACCTCCAAATCGGTCCAATCGAACACATGGGACGGATCTGGCTCGTACTTCTGAAGCATACTAACATGAAACACGTCATGAACCCCGGACAACTGCGGTGGCAAAGCTAAACGATAAGCAACTTCCCCAATCCTCTCAAGGATCTCAAAGGGACCAATAAACCGAGGGGATAACTTCCCACTCTTCCCAAACCTCATCAAGCCTCGCCTAGGTGATATTTTCAAGAAAACATGATCACCTACCTCAAACGCCAAAGGCCTCCTCCTACGGTCGGCATAACTCTTTTGGCGACTCTGGGTTGTAACAAACCTCATACGAATAAGCTTAACTTTCTCCGTCGTCTCTCTTACCAACTCCGGACCCAACAAAGGTGCATCACCCACCTCAGCCCAACAAACTGGAGACCTACATGGTCGGCCATACAAGGCCTCAAACGGTGCCATACCGATACTCGACTGAAAGCTGTTGTTGTAGGCAAACTCTACTAAGGGCAAGTGCCTCTCCCACGTCCCACTAAAGTCAATGACACAACCACAAAGCATATCCTCAAGGATCGAATAGTACGCTCAGACTGCCTGTCGGTCTGAGGATGATAAGCCGTACTAAAGGTCAACTTAGTGCCCAAGGCACTTTGCAAACTCTGCCACAACCTAGCAGTAAAACGAGGGTCTCTATCTGAGACGATCATTATTGGGACTCCGTGTAACCTCACTATGTCCCGAATATACAAGTCGGCAAGATGATCTATGGTATCTCTCACGCGCATAGGAATGAAGTGTGATGACTTAATCAACCGGTCTACAACCACCCAAATAGTATCACTACCCCGCTAAGTCTTCGGAAGACCTACAACGAAGTCCATAGTGACATGCTCCCACTTCCACTCGGCAATAGGCAAGGGTTGCAACAAACCCGCTGGCCTCTGATGCTCGGCCTTCACTTGCTGACAAGTAAGGCACTTCAATACGAAAACCGCCACATCTCTCTTCATACACCGCCACCAAAACTAGCGACCCAAATCACGATACATCTTAGTGCCTCCCAGATGCGCCGCAAGGCGTGAATGGTGAAATTCTCGGAGTACTTCCTCTCGTCAAGACTCCGGCACAAACAAACGGTCTCGGTATCTCACACTTAGGTCGGGATACACCGTCAAACCTTTCTCAACCTTCCCACTGGAGATCTTCTCTCGGAGGGATTCTACCTCAAGGTCACCTCTCTGTGCCTCTAACACTCGAGTCACGAGTGTAGGCTGTGCAACAACAGAAAACAAGGCCGCAGTCTCAATGGATTCGCCCAGAAGCAACTCAAACTCGCCAAGTGCACCCAACATCTCCCATTCCCGGATGGCCACACAAGCTACATCACTAATGGATTTCCTACTAAGGGCATCGGCCACAACATTGGCCTTCCCCGGGTGATAGTGCAACTCAAAGTCATAGTCCTCAATGAACTCCATCCACCTTCTCTGCTTCAAATTCAAGTCTCTCTGTGTAAACAGATATTTCAAACTTTTATGGTCCCAAAACACTTCGAACCTATCACCATAAAGGTAATGCCTCCAAATCTTCAAGGCAAAGATTACTGCTGCAAACTCTAGGTCATGCGTAGGGTAATTCTTCTCGTGTATTTTCAACTGACGTGAGCCATAAGCTACCACTTTCCCCTCTTGCATCAACACACAACCCAAACCCTCTCGTGAGGCATCACAATAAACCGCATAACCCACCAACCCTCTCTCCGGAATAATCAACACCGGAGCGGTGGTCAATCTAACCTTCAACTCTTGGAACGACTTTTCACAAGTCTCACTCCACACAAACTTGACCCCTTTTCGCGTCAATCTAGTCAACGGCGAAGCTAACCTGGAGAAATCTTTCACAAACCGGCGGTAATGCCTAGCTAATCCCTATCTCCTCCCACACAACACAATGCATATAAACAATTATCATATACATCATCATACAATACATAAAAGTTAATGTATTCTTTCAACTGTCATATACGATAACACATTCCATTGATTAGTTTTAGTTTGCCTAATCATCATGCATTGTCCACAACAATCACGACTACCC